GGAGGATCTTGTCAATGATCTCAAGGCAGCTGGGACCATAGTCACCAAGAAAACAATTGGTAACACACTACGCCGTGAAGGACTGAAATCCTGCAGCGCCCGCAAGGTCCCCCTGCTCAAGAAAGCACATATACATGCCCGTCTGAAGTTTGCCAATGAACATCTGAATGATTCAGAGGACAACTGGGTGAAAGTGTTGTGGTCAGATGAGACCAAAATGGAGCTCTTTGGCATCAACTTAACTCGCCGTGTTTGGAGGAGGAATGCTGCCTATGACCCCAAGAACACCATCCCCACCGTCAAACATGGAGGTGGAAACATGCTTTGGGGGTGTTTTTCTGCTAAGGGGACAGGACAACTTCACCGCATCAAAGGGACGATGGACGGGGCCATGTACCGTCAAATCTTGGGTGAGAACCTCCTTCCCTCAGCCAGGGCATTGAAAATGGGTCGTGGATGGTTATTCCAGCATGACAATGACCCAAAACACACAGCCAAGGCAACAAAGGAGTGGCTCAAGAAGAAGCACATTAAGGTCTTGGAGTGGCCTAGCCAGTCTCCAGACCTTAATCCCATAGAAAATCTGTGGAGGGAGCTGAAGGTTCGAGTTGCCAAACGTCAGCCTCGAAACCTTAATGACTTGGAGAAGATCTGCAAAGAGGAGTGGGACAAAATCCCTCCTGAGATGTGTACAAACCTGGTGGCCAACTACAAGAAACGTCTGACCTCTGTGATTGCCAACAAGGATTTTGCCACCAAGTACTAAGTCATGTTTTGCAGAGGGGTCAAATACTTATTTCCCTCATAAAAATGCAAATCAATCTATAACATTTTTGACATGCGTTTTTCTGGATTTTCTGTTATTATTCTGTCTCTCACTGTTCAAATAAACCTCCCATTAAAATTATAGACTGATCATTGCTTTGTCACTGGGCAAACGTACAAAATCAGCAGGGGATCAAATACTTTTTTCCCTCACTGTATACACTACACTATACACTACACTTCACACTACACTATACACTACACTATACACTACACTATACACTACACACTACACTATAATTGTAAATGTTGTAGTTGGTTTACTCTCCAACACACAACCAGTGTGTGCTGAACTAGTATACTACACTATACACTACACTATACACTACACTATCATTGTAAATGTTGTATTGGGTTTACTCTCAAACACACAACCGGTGTGTGCTGTGCTATTAACGAATTGACACGTTTTGTGCATGCGACAAGCCCTTACTGATTGGCTGTGTCGGGTGATAGCGGGTTTCACGACGCCTTTATATTTACGTGATCTAACCCAAAACGCCTCTATTATGTGTGGTATGTGTGTGTGTGCACTGTAACAAGACTCGCACTAGCTGCACACCGGCCGCGTCACTAACACCCCCACTGCGTCACTAACACCCCCACTGCGTCACTAACACCCCCACTGCGTCACTAACACCCCCACTGCGTCACTAACGCCCCTGCTACGTCACTAACGCCCCCACTGCGTCACTAACGCCCCTGCTACGTCACTAACGCCCCCACTGCGTCACTAACGCCCCCACTGCGTCACTAACACCCCCACTGCGTCACTAACACCCCCACTGCGTCACTAACACCCCCACTGCGTCACTAACACCCCTGCTACGTCACTAACACCCCCACTGCGTCACTAACACCCCCACTGCGTCACTAACGCCCCCTGCTGCGTCACTAACACCCCCACTGTGTCACTAACACCCCCACTGCGTCACTAACACCCCCACTGCGTCACTAACACCCCTGCTACGTCACTAACACCCCCACTGCGTCACTAACGCCCCTGCTGCGTCACTAACACCCCCACTGCGTCACTAACGCCCCTGCCACGTCACTAACGCCCCGTGCACGTCACTAACGCCCCCACTGCGTCACTAACACCCCCGCTGCGTCACTAACACCCCCACTGTGTCACTAATGCCCCTGCTGCGTCACTAACGCCCCCACTGCGTCACTAACGCCCCTGCCACGTCACTAACGCCCCCACTGTGTCACTAACACCCCTGCTGCGTCACTAACACCCCCACTGTGTCACTAACACTCCCACTGTGTCACTAACACTCCCACTGTGTCACTAACGCCCCTGCCACGTCACTAACACCCCTGCTGCGTCACTAACACCCCCACTGCGTCACTAACACTCCCACTGTGTCACTAACACTCCCACTGTGTCACTAACGCCCCTGCTACGTCACTAACGCCCCCACTGCGTCACTAACACCCCCACTGCGTCACTAATGCCCCTGCTGCGTCACTAACGCCCCTGCTGCGTCACTAACGCCCCTGCTGCGTCACTAACGCCCCCGCTGCGTCACCCACGACCTCCTGTATACCAGGCGAGGTAGTTAACACCTCACCAACCATGCTATTTGGAGGTGTGGATGGGGCAGGACAACAAACTAAACACAAAACGCACCTCCAAAGGAAGTATGATTAAAAAAATACATAGCTCCAGTGGATTCCTAATAACGGCGTAGTGTATAGTAGTGTAGTATATAGTGTAGTGTATAGTGTAGTATATAGTAGTGTAGTGTATAGTGTAGTGTATAGTGTAGTGTATAGTGTAGTGTATAGTGTAGTGTATAGTCGTGTAATGTATCGTGTAGTCTATCGTGTAGTGTATAGTGTATAGTAGTGTAGTGTATGATAGTGTAGTGTACAGTAGTGTAATGTATCGTGTAGTGTATAGTGTATAGTAGTGTTGTGTATGATAGTGTAGTGTATAGTAGTGTAGTGTATAGTAGTGTAGTGTATAGTAGTGTAGTGTATGATAGTATAGTAGTGTATTGTACAGGAGTGTAGTGTATAGTGTATTGTATAGTAGTGTAATGTATCGTGTAGTGTATAGTGTATTGTAGTGTAGTGTATGATAGTGTAGTGTGTAGTAATTTGCATGTATTTTTTACTTCTTTCGCACCGTACGTAGCCAACCGTGATAAAAGGAGGTTGCGGGAGAAGGACAACAAACTAAACACAACAATAACAATAAAACGTATTTTTTTTTAGAACAGCTTGAGTTGTTATCTTTCAAAATAATGTAAAAAAACATCATGTACACCGCAAATGGTGTTCTCGGTTGGGAATGTACATCGCGACATCGCAGTCTGTTGAGAACCATACAGCGCCTTCCTGTGGAATAACCTGCCGCTCCATCACCTGTCTCTGCCTTGAAAGCCCATCTATTTAAAGTCATCTCTTTAAAGTTCTCTCTTTAAACCCATCTCTTTAAAATCAACTCTTTAAAGTCATCTCTTTAAAGTGGCCTTCCCTGCTCTTTACGCCACTGCTTTTCATGCATTGCACAATTGGGGACCCTAGGATGGGATGCACAATTATACATTGGAGGTATGATTTGTAACAACAACGGCACGAACACCAGACATACCAATACTATGACGATGCTATTATGATTGGCTGTATTATTATTTACATGTTGCCCATCTCTGCCAAAAACCACAAAGAAGGTCCCGTTCCAGCAGCCAGGCTCAGCGTGGCTCCACTCGCTCTCTCTCTCTCACTCTCTCTCGCTTTCTCTTTCTCTCTGTCTCTCTCACTCTCTCTCTTTCTCTTTCTCGATCAGGGGAAACAAGAAGATGCTCGGTGTAGTCAGCACTTTGCTCCGTTCATCATTTCGGGTTTTTTTATGCTTTGCTTTATGTAAACCCCCCCTCCCCCGCCTTTTAAATGAAAGACCCAACAAAATATTATTTTCTGCTCTCCTTACCCCTTCCCTCTCTCTCTATCCCCCTCTCTGCCCCCCCTCCCTCTCTCTCTGCCCCCTCTCTTCCTACTCCATTTCGCTCTCTCTCGCTCACTCTCTCGCTCTCTCTCTTTTTTTGATAACTACGACAAGTGCTGCATCTGCACGCAGCCCTTCCCACAGTCGCTCTCGCCCTGGACACCACCACCACCACCACGTGACTTTTCTTTCGTGTTGTGCGCGGTGCTCTTTAGCGCCACAGCGCGTGGATTTGTAGCGTTTGTTTTCATTTGTGTTGCTGGTGACTTTGTGCGTTTCATATCGAAATCGCCTCCAGTGCTTTTTGCTGCTGGCGGCGATAAAAGTTGTTTAAAAGTCAAAAGTCTCTCTCTCTCTCGCGTTCTCTCTCACTCTCTCTCTTTCGCTCTCTGTCTCTCTCTCTCTCTCGCTCGCTCTCTCGCTCTCTCTTTTAACCAGTTAACTTTCCGTGGGCTACGTGGCGTGGCGACGCGGTGCTTGCGTTGCACGTGGAGGTGTGGCGCATGCACCGCAGGTTGCAATTGTGACGTTCGACTCGATGTTTGGTGATCCCGTATCGAAAGCGGCTCCAGAGCTATTGCTGCTGGCAGCAATCAAAGTGGTTTCAAAGTCAAAAGTCTCGCTCCCCCTCCCTCTCTCTCTCTCTTTCTCCCTCTCTCTCTCTGGCTAACAAACGCCGCGATCTCACCAACTTCGTCTGCGCCCAAGCTAACATGGCGGTGTACAAGACGAGGAAAAAGACGCTGGCAAGGCGACACTGACGGCCGCTCTGTGGCCCTTCCAGTGTTCAGGGGCCTGCTCAGGGCACGGCTCCGGCTGAAGAACGCCGCGTACCACACACGCACGTGTCGGTGACGTGCAGCGCGTCTTCTTCGAACGCTGGCGGGGGCCGGGCAAGGCCCTCTCTGTACCGGCGTGAACGGCACCACCCTCCTTGTCACCTTCCCACGTGCTCGCTCGACGAGCGAGCACGTGGGAAGGCTCCGCCGCCGCCGCCGCCACGTGGGTGACGTTTCGGTGCTGTGCGCGGCGCGTCCATTGCTGCACAGCGCGCGCGTGTGTTATATTGTATTTGCGTTATTTGTTGCTGGTGACTTTGCGTTTCGTATCGAAATCGCCTCCAGTGCTGTCGCTGCACTTGAGGCGATGAAAGTTGTTTACAAGTCACGAGTCTTTCCCTCTCTCTCCCTCGCTCTCTCGCTCTCGCTCTACTCACGGCTCTTGGCCTCCGGGTGCTTCAGCAGGAGGCGTCTCAGGCACGCCGCGTCCCCGCCCTGCACGGCTCTCCACAGCTCGTCCTCCTTCCCCATTGCTCGACAGCTCCTTCAGAGCGCCTGCTGACAGCGTTACAGCGCGCGCCGTCCAGTGGTTAAGAATGGACCGTGGCAACGTGGGCCCGACGTTGGCCCGACGTTTTCCCCAACGCTGCTCCGACGCCAGCCCGACGTTGGGCTGACGTTCACCCAACGTTGGTTCGGCGTTGGCCCGACGTTGGCACGACGTTGGCCCGACGTTTTCCCCAACGCTGGTCCGACGTTAGCCCGACGTTGGGCTGACGTTCACCCAACGTTGGTTCGGCGTTGGCCCGACGTTGGTCCGACGTTAATCCGGCGTTGTCCCGACGTTGACCCTACGTCGGTCTGACGTCGGCCCGCCGTCAACCCAACGTCGACCCAACGTCGACCCGACATTGCTACGGCGTTGGGCCCAACGTTGGTCAAAGGTGGGCATGTCCACGGGGACGTAAAGCACCCGTCGAGAACTCCCAGGCTGGGTGCATGTTGAGGCCACCACGCCAGGAAGGGCGGAAGAAGTCTCGTTGCTGGCAAGGTCACGGGGCAGACCCAGGCGTTATAGGTCGACTGAGATGACTGCTTAATATAAGTATACAACAAAATGAGTCCCAAAGTTCCCCCGTGTAGCCTTAAACTGACTGTTGGGGCAAGTGCTGTTAGCGAGCAGCAGCAACTATGAAGGCCGGCACTGTGGCACACGATGGGGTGAGTGGTCAACACCACGCCCGGCCGCCTTTGTCTCCCCGGTGGTGCGATGTTTACGCACCGCACCGGGTACTCGTTTAAGGCTGAGTCGACCTAGGGGAGGCTCAGGACCGGTTCGGATAATCGTCGCGGGTGTTGGCCGCGAGCGGGAATCGAACTCGGCTCGCCGGGTTCATAGCGCAGCACAGCGCTAACCGTTGCGCCACCGCTCCCACGCACATACCCACAAGTGGACATAATCTAACACACAGACACACACACACACGTAGATATTATCTAACACACAGACACACATACACACAAGTAGACACTATCTAACACACAGACACACACACGTAGATATTATCTAACACACAGACACACACACGTAGACACTATCTAACACACAGACACACATACACACAAGTAGACACTATATAACACACATACACACACACGTAGATATTATCTAACACACAGACACACACACACAAGTAGACACTATCTAAGACACAGACACACACGTAGATATTATCTAACACACATACACACACGCAGATATTATCTAACACACAGACACACATACACACACGTAGACACTATCTAACATACAGACACACACGTAGATATTATCTAACACACAGACACACACACACACAAGTA